GACCCTGACGGCCTCCCACCCGTGTAATAAAAAATGCGTTTTTTTTTTTCTTTCACAATGTTCTGTTTATGTGAGTAAAAGCTGGCCCGGACTGTCCGTCCTGTCTCTCCCACATATTTCATATTGCACCTGTGGCAGATGATGACATAAATTAGATTAAAAGAGTCAATGTTGCCGTATGTGGGATTCTGATGTATTTCCCCTCTCCGGTCATTCCTGATCCACCTCAGCTGTTTGAAATAACTGTGGTCCAGATCCTGTTTTTGTGGGTATTTTTGAGGGAGGGTCGCTCTGACTAGGTGATCTTTGAGGTTTTGATTCTTCCTGAAGGCGGTGATGATATTGATGTTACTCTAAGTCTCCTCTCCACTCAGCCGGGTTTGAAAGTTATTTTTGATGGAATGGGGGAGGTCAACGGTTGGAATAGGTGCAGACGAAGGGGAGGATGGATGGTGGGCGTTCCTTGACTGTTAAGGTTTTAAAACACGCTGGTAAGAAGGAGCGGGTGTAACCCCGCCCCTTGAGTGCCGTAAAACGAGTGTTGGTCGCTTCTTTAAAATCTTCCACCCCAGTGCAGATTCGGTAAAAGCGTAAAAGCGGTGATTTTAAAAATGTAAATGGTTCAACTGGTCAAGAGCATTAGACTGTGTGGAATAATAGTTGGATGTAGGCCATTAGGTCCAAAGGCCTTTGAAATGGCCTTTGAAACGTTGACTAATTAAAGCGCAAAAGAAATGAGGAGGGAAAACTGTTAATGGTATCATTTCTGAACGTTCCTGTTTATATATCACAGATGAATCAATACTGGGGAAAAGGCTGGTGAGTGGAAGCCGTGTCGAGAGTAAAAAGAACATTGATTGCAGATGGAAAAAGATTCCTGAAAGTAAGGTTTACAGAAGCTGTGCTGTCTCTCCCATACTCTGCCAAATGAAACGCAGCCAACAGACATCAGTTCTTTAGAGTGATAGATGATGGTGTGCAGAATATGTCTGCAGCCGGGACATCTGGTCAGAGAGGGCCCAGACCTCCCTTGATAAAACTGGGGTGAATCTTCGCCAGAGGGTTGATAAAAGAGTCAATATACTCGGCTGATCTATATGACTCACTCCCACAGTCCGATACGATGGGTCTGCCGGGGGGGATTAAAAAAGGTTCACTCCACTTTGATGGGTACTTGTGACCCTTTGGTAACAGATAAAATCTCCGTGCTCTGGGTTCCTCTTCTCCAATAAGATAGTTCCTCTGTTTAAAAGAAATAAAACCCTGTTGAAATAAACAATTAAAAATGGCCGTAATTTCTTTAAGAGTATCTAAAAATAGAGGTCTGGTGAGTTTTTGATAATAAGTTGGATTATGTAATTGTCTTTCCCCCTCCCAGATATATTGTTCCCTGTCCATGATTACTGTCAAACTGCCTTTATCCGCTGGTTTAATGATGATGTCCGGGTTATTGGAAAGTTCTTCGAGGGCCCTGCTCTCCTCTGGGGTGATGTTTGGGGCTATCGGTCGGATCTGGAATTCCCTGTTGAGGAATTCCAGATCCGACCGAATACTGTCCATTAAAAAGAGGGGCAGGGTCCCCTCAGGAGGATACCATGTGGATGAGGGGCAGAATGGGGTTTTGGGTTTGGGGGGGTGGTTCCTGAAGTGCCATTGGAGTTTGTGGTAGGCTTGTAAATCCATTCTCAACTGTTGTTTGATGTTCTGATTGCAGTTAAAAGTGGGTATAAAATTGAGCCCTTTATTTAAAATGGCCAATTGAGGTCGAGTTAAAATAGTCTTTTTCGATAAAACCAGCACATTCTTGAACCCCTCCAAGTCTATTGGGTTTGAGGGGCTCTCCCATTTCCCTGGCACAGCCAGTACTGGAGCATGCGCTGGGCTGTGCCATGGGTCCAATGATGATTGTCTGTGCTGGTCTTAAAATCATTGGGGGGTAAAACTGGGATAAAATCACAGTTATTTACAATAAAATTATTAATAGCCGTAAAAAGTTGTTTCTGTGGGCGCGTTAAAAGGGGTGAAAAATTTAAAATTGGGATCCGGACTGCCGCGTGTGGGAATTTTTCCCGGACTGCGGCCACAGCGGCCTCAATTTGTTTTTTGATTGGGATGATAAGAGCCCGGTCCTTGTAGTTGATCCCGAATGATAAAATGACGGACTCCACCCTGACCTCGGACCTCGTGTTCCTCATGAGAGGGATCAGGTGCCGGAAGGTCGCGACGCCTCTGATGTTTTCGCGCGCCTCTGATGTTTTCCGCCGCCCGTGGTCCCGTCGGGGGCGCGCCGCTGTCGTTGGCCGCCGTCCGCGCCGTTGCGAGCTGCCCGCGGCTCCCTCTGTGGCAGGGCTGTTGTGCTGGTGGTGGTGTTGCTCCTCCCGCTCAGGAGCAGGTCAGGGGAGAGAGGTGCACCGGGGGAGGGGGGGTCTCTTGTTCCTGAGGTGGGCGAGTTGTAGGTCTCTGCTCCAACCCCAGTAGAGGTCCCCCCCGTCGTCCCCGGGTCCCCCCTGGTCCTCAGAGCCCGAGTCT